GGGCACATTGTGTAAGGCAGTGGTCACCAACCAGTAGATCAGGATCTACTCATAGATCTTGGAGCCTCTGACAGGTGATCCTGACAGGTTTGGCCAGGAGGCTGTCAAGTGCCAGCATTTCATCTGCCTCTAATCTCTGCTGTGTTGCTTCTTCCCTCTGCCTTAGAGTTCTGCCCTCAGCCCTGGGAGCCTCTTGTTTGCTGTGCAGGGCACAGGAAGAAGAGGGGTTACTGATGTCAGAGTGCCCTCCCCCCACCCTGTACCCCATCTTCACAAAGCAGAGGGGGGACAGTGATGGAGAGAGTTTGGTGTCTGCTTTTGGGAGTGGTGCAGGGCCAGAGTAGGGGTATGCTTGCCTTAGTCCTCTGCACCACCACCCGGAAGCTACCTGTGGTAAGCAGTGTCCAGCTGGAGCCTGCATTCCAAACCCTGAACCCTCCTGCCCCCAAACTACTGCCCTAGCTCTGAGTCCCCTTGCACCCAAACTCCCTCCCAGAGCCAGCACCCTGCACCCCTCCTGCACCTCAACTCACTGCCCCAGGCTCAGCTCAGAGCCACTCCCACATTCCAACTCTTTTAGCCCAAGATAAGAGTCTGCATCCCCTTCCCCCACACCTCAGCCCTTTGCCCGCAGCCTGATAAAAGTGAGGATGAGGGAGAGAGGATGGAGTGAGCAGGGGCAAAGCACTGGAGAAGGGGCCAGAAGGAGGCAGTGCAAGGGTGTTTGAGTTTGAGGTAGACCCTGGATTGTATTTAAAGTAAAAAAGTGATCTCATGCTTAAAGAGGTTGGAGACCACTGGTGTAAGGCAGCAACTTGGGCATCGGTCCATACATTTACAAAACATTATACTATAGACACTTACGTTTCGCAGTGTACCACTTTTGGACAGGTGGCCCCTTGCTGTTGTCCACCATTCACATCCAAAGTCCCTCTTTCCACAGACTGAGTGTTCCACAGGGACACTCTTCGAAGAAGAAAAGAGGAGGTTACTCACCTTGTACAGTAATCGGTGTTCTTTGAGATGGATGTCCCTGTGGGTACTCCATGACCTGCCCTCCTCCCCTCTGCTTTCGAGTTGTAACATCTCTCCACAGTAGAGAAGGAACAGACGGATGTGCCAATGCAACCATTCACACCAACACACGGGGGGAGGGGTTGTACTGCTGCTGAAAAGTTCCAATTACAAGCACAGTGTGCCAAGATACCAACAGTGGCCCGTCCACAGGGACACCCATCTCGAAGAACACCAGTTACTGCACTAGGTGAGTAAAATCTCTTTTGAGGGCACTTTGCAATCTTAACATTCTTCTAATGTTTTGAATGTACCTCACTGTACTTCATAGAGACACTATATCTACTAAGGAAGCTGTCTTATGAAAAAACAAACCCCTATGAAATGGGGTCAAACACCCAACAACTGTTTTAGTATTGTGTTTCAGTCACTGCCTGCCCTTCCTTCTTTCTGAAGTTAACAGAAAACAACTTTCAATTTTTATCTGCGTAAAAATGTGACATTAATAGTTATCAGTGCTTGTAAATTATGTGTTAATGGTGACCCAACAAGGCATTGAAATAAACACTGAAGGCTTTATAACTGTTTGCAGCATCTACAAGAGTTGGTATTGACAATTTGGATACTTCATTGGAGCTCTATAGTTAATTTTTAATGTGAGCCAGATACTAATACCAGCAGAGAAAGGGCAGTACAATTATGCTGACACACATTAAAGAAGGATCTGGTTCTGTAGTTTACTTTCTTATGACTACATCTCTGCAGTATGCCACAAAATGTCTCCCATACAGGATTGAAATGACATGGCCGTCAGCCATCTTTTTGCCATCTGCATAGAGTTTTAGAATAAAAGCAGGGGGAAGAGGCACTGGCATCATTAACGGGTTTCACACCATAATTAAAATTTACTAGCTATACAGAGGAGTGGTAGTATTAATCAAAGCTATGTAAGACCTTCACACAAACATTGATCAGCATTTAAAACAATACCCCCCCCCCACACACACACTTTATGGAAGAAAGTGCAAGTTTAGTTTGTATTACTCTTTGAAAACAAAAGAAACAAACTTCAAAGAACTTTTTTGCAGCCTTAATTGTAACCACCACCAAGTTTACTGCAACTAGAGGAGATGAAGAAAAAAAAATCTGTTCACATAGACAGCTTGTTAAAGGAAGCTAGTTCTGGTGCTTCACTTTTCTTCCCTCCTTGACCTGGGTATTTCAGACAGCAACAAGACAGGAGAAAGCCACAAAGGCAGTAGTTGCACTCAGGATGCAACTTTCTGAAATGGTTACTACCTTTTGAATTTAAAACACACAATGCCTCTATATAGGAAATGACTTTCCAGATATTCGGTATGCAGTCAACTTGCTTTATGCTCACTTGATATGAAAAGCAACAGAACATGTTTATACCAGAATACTATCCATGTTTTTCCAAGAAAAGTTCAGTATTCTGTAGTTTTTCCTAATACTTCCATCAAGAATGAATAGGTCTCTAAGCCACAGCTATGACCAGTTCACATGGGTCATGGAGTCATAGAATACTAGAACTGGTAGGGACCGCAAGAGGTCATCTAATACAGTCCCCTGCCCTCACAGCAGAAACAAGCACTCTCTTGATCAGTGGTTTTCAAACTTTTTCCTCAAAACGCAGTTGAAAGAAAAATTGTTGATGCACATGACCCAGCATAATTATAGCTTTTGATTAGGTGCAGGCTCTAGTGGGGAAGAGGTCTAGGAATGGGAGATTGGCAGTGCAGGAGGGGCAGGGATAGGGAGTTGGTGTTTGTGGGTGAGCAAGGGCTTACCGTCAGTGGCTCCTGGTCAGTGGCACTAAAGCAGGCTTCCTGCTTCTCCTAACACCTCAGACAATGCTGTGATGCGGAAGTGTCCAGCAGCAGGTCTGGCTCCTAGGTGGAGGTCCAGAAGCAGATCTGCATGCTGCTCTGGCTTGCAGGCACATACCCTCCCCTCAGCTCCCACTGGCCAGTGGGAATGTGAAGCTAATGCTCAGGGTGGGAGCAGCACACAGAGCCTCATGCCCACCCGCTGGCCTAGGAGCCAGACCTGCTGCTGACTTCTTCCAGAATGCACCATGGTCCTCCTCAGTGCCAGGACAGGCAGGAAACCTGCCTCAGCACCCCCATTAGTCACAGGTGAACCAGTTCCTGACATTATGCAACCCAGTGCTCATTTACCACCCATCGTTTGAAAATCACTGATGTAGAAAAAATCCTGAGATATGTTTATCTAACCTTTTCTTAAATATCCCCAGTGATGGATTTTCCACAACCTCTCTAGGCAATTTATTCCAGTGTTTAGTCACCTGGACAGGAAGTGTTCCCTAATGTCCAACCTCAACCTCCCTTGCTGCAATTTAAGCCCATTGCTTCTTAACCTCTGATGATAGGATAAGGAGAATAATTTTTTCTCCCTCCTCCTTGAAACCCCTTTTAAGGGCCTTGTCTAAGCAGCTCCCTCAGTTTACTAAAATGTGCCTTCTTGAACTCTATTGTCTTTAATGTTCTCCCTTTTAAAAATCATGAACTTCATAATTTTCACTCAAGATGCCTTACACTTTCAAATTCTTAACCAGTTCTTCCTTGTTAAAATCAAATCTAGACCAGCCCCCCTACCCCCGTAGCTTTTTCCACCTATTGAAATAAAAAATGGTCTCCAGTGCATTCCAAGTACTTGTTGGATAATCTGTAGCCTACTTTATTTCCCTCATTTCCCTCAACAGATGTCTGGATAGCTGAAGTCCCCCATAACAGATTTTTTTTTTTACAGCAAAATAAAGCCTCATCTACCTCTTCTTCCTGGTTAGATGGTTGTAATAGACCACCCTTGTTTTTTACCTGTTTTTACCTTACCCAGAGACTTTCAACAAGTCTGTCACCTATGTCCATCTCTACCTCAGTCCAAGTATATACATTTATAATATACAAGGTAACACCACCTCTTTCTTTCTATACTAATATTCCAATTGTGTATTATCCCAAGTCTGTGATACCAACTATGTCATAGTTGTATTGATTTACTGGCATTTCAAGTTCTTCTTGCTTATACCCCATATTTCTTGCATTTGTATACAGACAAATCAACTGATTTGATTTTGACCCTTCCCACTGTCCTGTTTTGCCTTTCATCTAATTAATCCCTATTATCCTTACTCTCCCCAATTTCTGACCCATCTATCTCCCCGGTCTCCCTGTTTTTCCACTTACCTGTGGGCTTTGGTCACCTGCCTCCATCAAACCTAGTTTAAAGCCCTCCTCACTAGGTTAGCCAGTCTGAGTCCAATTACTCTCTTCCCCTTCCTCAATGGTGGGCTCCATCTCTGCTTAGCAGTACTTCTTCCTGGCACAGCATCCCATGGTCAAGGAAGCCAAAGGCCTCCTGGCAACACCATCTTTGTAGTAGGGCATTCACCTCCAGGCTGTATCTCTCTGCCTAAACCTCTACCTCTGACTGGAAGGATAGAAGACACCACCTTGCACCTCAAACTCACACTCTCTAGTCCCTTGCCCTGAGTGCTGCTTCCTTTTGTTCTTCTCTTCCTCAGCACAGAACTGTAGCAGAGGCCAAGGCATAGGGACTTCAGCATGAAGCTGCTCTGTTCTCTATGCAAGAAAGTGCAGCCTGGCTGTTGACAAAAGGTGAAAAGTAGAACAAGATTGGACAGGGGCACTTTTGGATGAGGAAGGTGAGTAAAGCAATATACAAGAATGTGCTATAGCCTAAGGTAGCAAATCCCACTACCTCCATGTGCCCAGGAGGAAAATACTCCTCCACTACATATCAGAGCAATCTATGGAGATGTATACTGCTCCTGAGGACTAAGAAGGTACATTGAATTTAAATTTTCAAGGATCTGTGATCAAGTTCTTCTGTTTTGCACACAGCCTTAAAATAAGGAATTTTGAGAGCAGAGGATATAGCTATGGTTGCCAAAGATTAAGAAGATGTATAAGTGAAGCCCATTTCAAACAAAAATAAATTTATTTAAAATTTTACACAACAGGATTCCTTCCTTGCATAATTCCAAATGCTACCTCAGGTTGGTATCTGTGGACTACATTAAACTTCTCAAAAAGGGCCAAAAAAAAAAAATCTTTGAAACCAAGGGAGTAAACCCAGTAAATTATATTAGAACTAGATACAATACAGTCTCAGCAGCCACATGAGAAATAGTTCTGCTGCTTTGTTATTATACAGGTAGTTGGTTCTATCAGCTAAAGCCTAGTGTCTTGGATTTGTTTTATGCATATTGGGGTTTGTTCTATTACTTTGCAAGAGCTTGTACTCCCTTGAGTCAGCCGTGTTCATTGGTCAGAATAAATTCCAGCATCTGACACCATTTCCATTAATCACAGACAAGCCAGTATACGTGAGCAAGATGATAGAAAGAAAAACATATCCGGTGAATGGTAAGCATATTATTTACGTATGCTGTTCATAATACAGTAGATGGTATCAAAGAGATTCTTTTGACTTCAACATAGACAAAACTCTAATACATAAAAAGGAGATGGCTATCACATGAAGCACTGAAGGCACAGGTAGGGCGGGGGGGGGCGGGAGAGACGACCCACAGATCACCTAGCGCTGACTTTCCATTGCACTTTCATAGTACATCATTGATATGACTGCATTGCAAAGTCAAGCTTTCTTATAGAAGTTACTGGCACTTTGAAAAAAATGACCGATTAACTGTTGTGAAATCCATTTTTTCTTTATATTGAGTAAGGTAGAGTAGACAAGTCAGATGCTTGTGCACTGTATACAGAGAACAAATTACCACTACTAATCATTTTGCCACTAATTAAACTTTATATTTGCTGAGAACATGAAATACCTATTGTAGCATTTCCTCTTAAGTATTTGTACTTTTTAGTCATTTCACTTTAAACCTGATGCATGAAGCCAAACAGTTCTAAAACTGCTCTATCAAATAAGACTTGTAAGTGCCTAGATGCTACCTTGGTTTAAAGAGTAATAGGTTTTTATGTCAGTTACCCACATACATCAGTACATGGACAACTGTAGAAAGCTAGCAGCTATAGTTTTAAACAATTTAGTTTTCTACACAACAAATTAAAAACCCAATTGATATGGCACAATGATTTTACACAATACACAACATCTGAGCTGCTCAAATTAAGGCTTCTGAATATTCATGACTAGCCCTTCCTCCTTGAAAAAAAAAAAAAGTTGGCAGCCTTAGAAACCATATAGTTAAAAATGAAGATTTTGGTGATGTATAAAATGAGGCACACAAAGAGCTTTGCATTTTGGTGAGGATGATTCAATAGGAGGGTCCAATGTTCATCGAATGTAATTCATTTCCTTTATGTGAATGGAGAAAAAACAAAAACTATGTCCATGAATTACAACTGTCAGCAGCATCTATTTGTGACCTTTAAATACTTACAGTAAGGCCAAAGTACAGGTGCAGTCTGAATAGTATATCCTAGCAGTTTTGGTTTATTATATGTTACATAAACATGATTTGGAAAAAACCCTATTAAGTCTCACCTTTTTTCTTCCTAGCATATATCACACCTTATAAATCCAGTGACTGTCCCTGAACCAGAGGGGGCGAAAATAACATTCCAATTCCATTCTTTACCTGAGAGGTCTAAATCTGAAAGACACTTCTGTCAGAGGTAAGCTCACAGCTTTTATAAGTTTCTAATGCAGGATACCTGAAGCCTTTACAAGCAGTGTTATGTACACATAGCAAATTAAAATGCACAGCTGGATTATGTTGATATATTCCAGGAATCAAATATTCAGTCTGTGTAATATTTGCAAGGATATATAATTTTCAGTAGAAGAGGGCAAGCATTTAGGGCCTGATTCCAATTTGCTTACATCTGTATTACCAGTGCAGCTCCTTTGAGTTACTCCCAATTTACAGCAGTGAGTTAGGCTCCTCTCTTGGAACAAGACAAAAGTTACCTTCACATTTTAGGTAACTACTTGTCTTTTTTTTAAAAAAACATTTTAGCACTCAGGTGCCTATTCAGAACCAGCCCCAGTCTCTCTTACAAACTACTTAGTTCTTGTGCAGGCAGTTTTGATTACACTGATCCAAGTAATCTATTGGGTAGTTTGACAATGAGGATTTATTTTTCATTTCCCAAAACATTGTTTCACTAGGTTTTGGAGGACTTGGAAATACCCAGGAATTATCTTCTAGAGAGCTCTTTCCATATGAGTTTTGTTCATGACAGGTTGTGCCACCAATTGGGATGGGTCTCTCATCTGTCCACGATTGAAGATTTGCCCGTTCGGACAGGATTTTTACATCTCTTGAGAAAGGAGGAGCTATGGCATTGCAGAGAAGTTTGTCATTTTGTGAAAGAGAGGTTTTTTTGTAGACTGCCCCAGAAGTCGTCAAATATAATTTTGTGAGGTTCTGTTCCACATCTTCGACACACTGTACTGGTGCACAAGTAGAAGCTGAAGAGAGAAGACAATTACATGTAATTCTTAATGTACATAAGTAGAAGATATAGTGTAGATACACTATGTATGTTTCTGAATGAAACATGACAAGTTTTTTCAGCTAATAGTTCCCATATCTTGCTTCTGAGTTCTAACACAGTCTCTTGTTGAATCAGTTTTGCAAATTTCACCATAACTTTTTAAATAGCACTCTCTCAAAAACCAAACCACGACATGTGGCAAGTTCTAGTGTATTTTGGGGAGTGTATCTATGGTGAGGCATAGATAGAGTGCTGCACCAAGATGATCTCTGTGCTCAGAGAAATGTCTGATTCACAATGGTCCCTTTTGGCTTTGGAATTTATCAATCTTGCTTGCCTATATAGAATCTTGCACCCTATTTCACGGTCTCCTCGTGAGTTGCCTCTTTCTGCTGCAACGTTCTGAATTAATCTTTAGTCTATGAAGCAACTTTGAGGGAGATGGAATGGGGCTTGCTGCTGCTTTGCTCAAGGGTAAGGTTTCAAATAATCCAAGGTGAGGATGACCATTTGAAAATAGGCAGCAACTCTCCAGAACTTAGCCTCAGCACATGAAGCAAAGTTTCCTACAATAGCTATGAATATAGAATACAACCTCTGGTTTATAAACACAGTGCTCATACACAGGACCCTACCAAATCCATGGGCCATTTTGTTCAATTTTGCAGACATAGGATTTTAAAAATAGCAAGTTTAGTGATTTCAGCTATTTAAATCTGAAATTTAACTGTGTTGTAATCGTAAGAGTCTAGACCAAAAGGAGCTGTCAGGGGTATCACAAGGATATTGGGGGGGGGGGAAGGTTGGCTGTACTGCTACCCTTAATTCTGTGCTGTTGCTGGCAATGGTACTTCCTTCAGAGTTGGACAGCTGGAGAGCAGCGGCTGCTGAACAGGCGCACAGAAGTAAGGATTGCTTCATATGGTATTGCCTCTCTAACTTCTGTACTCTTCTAGCACCAGCTCTTCCTTCAGAGCTGGCTCGTGGCCAGCAGCTGCAGCTCTCCAAGTGTCCAGTGCTGAAGACAGTGCAGAAGTAAGGGTGACAATATAGCAAGTCCTCTAAAATAATCTTGTGATGCTCCTGAAATGTCCTTTTGTATTAGGAGCACCTATTTGAGAAATGCTGTTCTCCTGCACAGCGTATGGTAAAAGCACACAAAAGATCAGATTTCACAGTCCATGATTCATTTTTCATGGCTGTGAATTTGGTAGGACCCTATTCATAAGGGACAAACACAAGAATCAGTGCACTTGCAGCAGGATGTAGCATCACCCTGCCAGTAGAAGTGCAAAATTGGTGACCAATTAGCAAATTTCAATTAAAAGCACTTTCCAGTGGCTGATTTGTCACATCCAGAAGATATAGTTAGGGAATTTGTGACTCACCCAGTCTGCGTTCATACTGCAAAAAGTAGTGCTTGTGCCGTAAGCTATTCATAGGTACAAGGACAAATGGAAATCATATACTGTACTCCAAATGCTGTGAATACTGGGATTGTTGAAGTGTTAGGGCAGATGCGGTGCTATTCAGTCACCATGACAGCATGGGGAATTGTATTATTGCTCATTGGATACTTTCAAACAGAAACTTCTAATAGCTTGGCTGTCTAGAGTAGCATGGCTATTCATCTCAAAGCATGGGACAGTGCAACTTCTCTATTGTGTGTGACTAACAGTCTGGGTTATAACTGGTTAATACAAATTTCAAGGTCAATATTTCTGATGTTCAAGCTGGAAGTACTTTAACATCTCAGTAAAATGACCCAAGTTTCTATACTCTAAGACTAAGATTATTTGACTAGAAGCAATATAAACTCACTTAGGCAGCTTACACCCCCGCCCCCATATGCTATCTATTTGGGCTTACCCACAGATATAAAACAATCGGGACTGGTGCCCTGTTTATTAGGTGATCCCTGAGGAGCTTGCTGTATTTTGCTTACGAGCACATATTCTCACATATGCACTCACAAAGAAATGGCCTACTGGGAACTAAATGAAATGAGAAAAAGCACCCCAAAAATCAGTGCTCTTTGTTGTGGCCTTTGTATGATGACTGAGCCTCAGTGGTCTGCAGCTAGATCAGGCCAGAAAAAAGTCCATATTGAAATAAATCTGAAGGAAAATATTTATGTTTGCATAGACAGAGGGTATTCTCAGTGACAGCAATGAAAGAGAAACAACCCATTTCCTCATTCCTGTGAGGCATTGTCAAGAACTGACCAGTAAGCAGGATAAGTTTGCTGCAGTCAAGATTTGATTTTTTCTGGGATAGCAATTTATCTATTCAGGAACATTTTTGGCTTCTAAACACATCAAGCAGCAAAACTGTATAAATTCATACAGCTTCCTAGATTGGATCTGTCTCAACATTAAAGAGTCACAGAATGCAAGAAGCTATGGCATTATATAGCCTTCAATCTTAAAATTTGCTCATGTTCTACTTACTACAGGCAGTCCCCGACTTATGGATCTGACTTATGTCGGATCCGCAGTTACGAACGGGGCTTTTCTCGCCCCGGAGGACATGGACTGCGGGACCTCGCGGTGCCGCTGCCCGTGTACTCCAGGGCGAGAAAAGCTGCTTTGCGTCTCCCTGGTCTGCAGACCAGGAAGACGCGGAACAAAGCCGCAGAGGGGCTCGGGCAGCCGGGCAGCCCAGGCTTTGCAAAGCCTCGGGGGAAGCCGGCAGCGGGACAGCCCAAGCGCGCCTGGGCTGCCCGAGTTCCCGAGCCCCTCCGCGGCTTTGCTCTGCATCTTCCTGGTCTGCAGATCAGGGAGATGCGGAGCAGCTTTTCTCGCCCCTGAGTACACGGGCGGCGGGACCGCAAGGTCCTGCAGTCCGTGTCCTCCGGGGCAAGAAAAGCCCCATTCGTAACTGCGGATCTGACATAAGTCGGATCAA